CGAGTGGCCCTTCCTTTCTCAGGCTAGAACATACCAAATATTTAAACAGGCCATCCCCTACGAAGTCAGACCGTTCGTGGGTCTGGCTGGGTTTGTCAGGACTCTTGTAACATCCAAGGACCCTGCCGATCTGGTGCAGCCCCAGGCACGCTGCCACCCCGTGCCACAGCGTGCTGCCACAGCACAACCATTCTGTGGAAAAAACAAGGTTGCCCACATGAAAGGTACTACTGAAGAAATCCTCTTTTGGCAAAGACCACAAGACACCCACCTTTTCCATTCTAAAATACAAGCCAGTAAACTATATATTTCCCTCTTTATTAGCTGCTCAGAAGGAAACCATCAGCAAGAAACAGGCAAGCCATAGCACGTAGAACTGTTACCCATGTTCCTCAAGCTAAGAGGATGAAGGTGCAGCACTGTCATTTTCAGGCTCCCTGCTTTCTAATGAACCAATGACCTTCTCTCCATCCCCCTTCTTCTCCACAAATGCTCATTATCATTTTGGACTGGCTGGGAGCTGGCTGCCACCTGATCACAAGCTAAACAAATGAATTTCCATACCAGGATGTATTCAGCAGGGGTCTGCAGCTTCTCTCTCAATGCTGCATGAGATCTTTGTGCACATGCACCTGGGGCTTTGAAGGACAGGAAGCGTCCAGGGTTTCTTCCAGATTCCACTGACTGACTCAGTTTTCTGCATCAACTAGGCCAGAGGTAGCACAAAATTGTCACATGAAGTCACAAAACAATGTGACAGATGTTGACCTCCAAAGGAAATGAGTCAGCATTCAGAAGCACAGACAAGGGCTTGTATTTGCCCAAATAAAGCTGAGCATTCTTCTGCTCAGTGTCACAAATTCTAAGTATCTAAAATAATTCTCAGACACAGAAGGTCCGAGTAGAGCACTCGTGAGACCACACCACTGGGGAGGCCACTATTGAGCACTAGTGACGTAACATCTGGAGTGCTGGGTCCAGTTCTGGGCTCCCCAGTGCAAGATACACGGACTACTGGAGAGAGTCCAACAAAGGGCCACAAAGATGATTAAGCATTAGAGTAAAGGCTTGAGAGAGTTGGGACTGTTCAGCCTGGAGAAGACAAAGCTCAGGGGGATCTCATCAATGTGTACAAATATCTGGAGGGCAAGTGCAAAGAAGACAGAGCCAGGCTCTTTTCAGTGGTGCCCAGCTACAGGACCAGAGGCAATGGGTACAAAATGAAACACAGGAGGTTCCTCCTGAACATCAGGAAACACTTTTTCACTGTGAGGGTGACTGAGCACTGGCACAGGTTGCCCAGAGAGGTGGTGGAGTCTCCCTCCTTGGTGATCTTCAAAATCCATCTGGACATGGTCCAGGGCACCCAGCTCTAGATGGCCCTGCTTGAGCAGAGAGGTTGGACCAGATGACTTCCACCTCCCTTCCACCTCAGCCTTTCTGTGGTTCTGTGACAACACTCATATAGAAGGTAGGAGGGAGGCAGAGCGCTAGCATATTTGAATATAAAATTAAGGCAGAAGACAGAATCTACAAAAATCTCAGCACAAGAACTAGAGGAGGTAACCAAAACCCGCAGAGCTGCTTCTGTTCCAGCCAGGTGGTGTACACAAAAAAAACTGCAGACACATTGTTACCCCCTGCAAACCCATCCTATAAAACACTACTGTAACTTCTGCAACATTGCTTTGGCCTTGAATTTGAAAGTCTTTGCCCATTTTGTGGGATTGCAGCTCAAAACCACACCGTTAGAACAGATAAAATGTCCTATGAGATGGGACAATGTAGTGATTAATCAGTTCCCTAACTCCATGTGCAGGAACACCTCTAATCCGTTGATCTTTCAAATTCTAGCACATTCAAATTAACATTTTAAACACTGTATATTTAATGTAGTAGAGTTTTCTTCATTATATTACCAATTCCTTTTAGAAGCTTTTGTTTGCAGAGCTTTGCGGTGAGTAGAAGAAAGGAAGTTTTCAGTCAAGGTGAATGTATAACTGGTCAAGGCTAGCAGTCAGAATCAGTATGCTGTGGCCTTGTTCTGTGCTTCAGTCCTATTAAACTCACCTGTGGTATCCCTGTGCAGTTCAGAAAATATTTTCCTGCTTTAATCTTTCATGGAATTAATCTTCCAGACCTGCAGTATACTACCATTTTCATCATCACTCATCAGTAGCTTGTGAATACACTTGCAAACATGACAATACCTCCCAGTTGCTATAGACAACAGTAAGGTGCAGCTTAACTATTGAAGCCCAACTGGCAGCCATTTATTCAGTATCTTATCCCAAGGGACACAGCTGCTAGTAAGACAGTTGCTGTGCAGCAACTCCCTGAACCTTAGTGAGTATTAATCTGCATCTGCAGCCCTCTACAAACTGCCTGGACTAACTTTCCAGCTTGTAGACAAAAGGTATTAAAGCAATTCTGCTACACACTAGTTACACTACTGTATCTTTGATTAAAATGGTGAAATAATGTACGAGACTGAACAGACTATTCCTACAAGACAGACAGCTAAGGTAAGTCTTACCAGTGCAAGGGTAGAACACAGCCCCTGTAAATGCTAGGTGAAATTAGAGAGCCAAGGAAGCAGCAGAACACATGATTTTCTGGATCAATTTATTTCAAAATCAACCACCTTGGCAGAGAGAGCTCCAACCCAGTAGATGAGCAGCAGTTAAGAGAGCAAGTCTTCCCTTCTCTTGCCCTCCAAATCTCCAGTCCACCACCCTGGTAGGACAAAGTGTCTGCAAGAGTCAGTAAGGACAAGGACAGTTCAAAAACACCCAAACAGCCTCTGCACAACAGGACTTGGCATATGAAGCCAGTGCTGAATATACAGCAGAATCAAATACGCAGTAGAATATCAAAGGCTTTAACTACTCAGCACCCTGTACTGTATTTCTAGCCTAAGATGTGCAGCTGGAGTGACAACAGAGAACTACACAGAACTGCTTACCTGCAGAAGGCAGTGTCCTCGGTTCCACCAGAAGTGAGATAAGCCCCTTAACAAGCCTGCTGCTCCAGTTTCCTAGAGCTTCTATCTTGTGTGATAAATTGGATAGGGAGGCAGTTTTTAAACTAAAGCTCTCAAGAGCTTTAAGAAAGCTTATAGAGACAAGCAGGACAGCCTCTCAGAGACCAAGAGCATTGCTGGCTGGTCAGTCACCAGCAAGGTGAAATCACCACCAATTAAGAGAAATGTTTGCTCACACTCAATTCAAGCACCCTCTGTTGAAAGGGAGCAGCAGACCTTAATTCATTCAAAGTCAACACTTTTCACTTTTTAACAGATTTTTAATATCAGTAATGTGCGAAGTGACATCTCAATGCACAGTAGCACAGAGACTACAGTTTTGGAGGTTCTCCCATTTCAGACACAGAAGGGAAACATGAGGAAGCACATGCAATCAAACAATGATCAACTCTAGATACATCATGATACATTTTGGTCCAAAAAACACATTGAAACAATTAATCCAATTACTGCAAACATAACTTCTCTGAGTAAGGTTAAGATATTGCATTTGTAGTGTTTCCATTCTGCTTTCCTTCAGCGAACCAGTGGAGCCTGCTTGAGTGAGATGAGGACCGAACGCATGCGGGACACATCTTTTGCCTGCTTACTAGACTTGGGATTAAAGTCACAGAGCTGAGCCACACGTTCCCACTCAGTGCCTGGAAAAATGTCTTCTGCATCATTCACAAAGGCTTCTTCAGCTGCCCTAAAAGCAATGCAATGCACCTTGCATTAATGCCCAACATATAAGGCACTCCTTCCCTCTTAGAGGATGTTGTTTCTTTCAGCATGTTTCATAAGAAATGTGACCTGACAGCTGCTTGTGGACATTATGACTACTTAAGCTCCCCCTACCCCAACCCTAGAGATGAAAGTAGGTTGCAATAGTATGCTATGCACAAGCAGTGCAGAGGATTGCTGTGTAAAATGTTGGAATACAGGTGTTTGGTTTTAAGAATAGTTATCGAATCTTTGCCCAAGGAGTCACCACAAACAGCCAGGAAGTAAGGTACTCCTATGCAGGCATTTCATTTACAGAGAAATGCCCCCAAGTCTTAACTAGCTAAGCCTCTGCCACTTGATGGCTTATACTGGACACTTGCCAACTGCAAATTTACAACTCCCTGCAAGTACATCTTAGAACAGATTCTATTTGAGGATTTAAACCAGCCCGAAGGCCTACAGGCCATCATAAAACTGTCTGCTGCTGGTTCCCAATGCTGTAGTGAAGCAACATGAATCAAAAGGAATTTAAGTCACGAATCCTATGCTTCCAGTTGCTTCTGGCAGAGGGGATAACTCATTTGAGGTCAGCTCACAGGATAAACACATTTCCCCTGTTCTCACCGTAAGGAGACTCTAAGGAAGCCTTGTACATTATGTACAGGTTAGGGCCAGTGGCTTCCCAGCTGTACGCTTTTGGCATTGCTGTGCTGCCAACAGCACTGCTTCAACTCAGGGATAACACTCCAGCATCTAGTTTACATGAACTGTGGGTCCCTGGTAGCTGCCTGAGTGCAAGAGCAGTAAGCATCAAGAGATCAAACCAAATCCATCTACTCCAACAAGCAGTACAGAAAAAGCAGTGAAGATGACTCTCCCATGAGGGTTCAGCACTATTCACAGGGATGATAAGGTTACAGACACAACTGAAGACAAGGGTCACTACAACACTGCTACTTTATGTGACATGACACTTTTAAGGGGCAGTGAAGATTTTTTTTACTTAACTGTTCTAGGCTGTAGCAAGGATGATTTATGTTTGTGCTTAAAGGTGAAGAGAAGAAAAGAAACAAGGAGAGAAAGTTTAAGTCAGATATAGAAAGTGAGAATGAGATTAATGCAGATGATCAGCTGGCTGAACATGCACTAGTAGCTTAGACTGCATTCAGGAAACAGGCTACCAATTTTATTCTGCAGCACTTACACTACATATTTGCATTGAGTATACGAAAATAAGGGTTTTATTGGAAAAATCTATCAAAATCTACTCCAGGAGACTTCAGAAAAGTCAAACACCACCTGTAAATCCACCATTTCACAAGTCTTGGTTTACATCCACCTACAGTTAGGTAATGAATGCCACACTGGACCTTCAATATTAATGCACTTAAAGCCACACCATGGCTCACCCATAAACCTTCTAAAGGTGTCACCTTAGAATCTGTGACATGGCCATCTTTTAAGTCAAGTCTACAAATTAAGGGAAGAAATTAAAACACATGAACTAGCCAACGAACATTGCAATCCTTCCACCACACAGAAGCTAGCATACTCATTGCGGCTTGAAAGTCATGGCCATATTCTCATTCATCCATTACGCTGGCAAAACGTCTGACACAGAATGGCTCCTAAATGTTCTCCCAGCAGCTAATGATGATTGTCCAATACCACCTTCTTGTACTTTTCATCTGTTCTCTAATAGGATCCTATTTTCTATATGCTTGTACCTCTTCTATCCCAATTTATGGTAGATGATTCCTTTCTATCTTCCTTGGCTTGTGGAGCTTTATGTGCAAGCATTGTTTGAATATTTTTCTGATTATGTAGGCACATGAGCACAGATCAGGAGCTCAATGCTTATTACAGAAAATGCAGATTTAAACACTGTGTTTCTCCATGGAAGTGACTAGGACTAAATACAGCACCTATGTGAGACTGCAGACACTAACCCACACACCCAGCAAAGCATCCTGCTTAAGCAGTGTTCACTGGCCTGGAAACAACTGTAAACCCCTACATCTAAACACTACTGAAGTCATTACCAAAATTCCAGTGGAATGTATACTACATCACTTAATCTGAAAGTGCTGGATATGTGATCCTTACAGGAAAACTGCATTAACACTGCAGATCAGAGTCAGTCTAAAAAGTAAAGGCTATTTACTTGTATTAATTTATACTGCCCTGAAATATTCAGAAGTCACCTTCAGACATTCAGCACTATTTCTGATCCTCCTCATTACCTAGTTGACTAGCAAACAGAATTAGTAGTTAAGCAACATACACATAACCAATCATGTCAGCGAAGGGTTGTTTGTAGAAAGCTTCATCTGCCACCCTAGGTAGCAAGTAGTCCAACAGGCAGGCAAGCAGGCAGGAGAAAAGAGATAAGGATGAGAAGTACGGAATATAGCTGAAGGCAGTTTTAACAAGCACATTAACCTTTTATCACCTAGACTCACTGTAACAGGAAAGCAGCTACCATATGTAATGTATCAATTAAGCCATTGACTCAGAGAGGCAACACGAGTTCTACTACGTCCTAGAAGTTTGGACCAGCTAGCTTAAATTCCAGTGTTAGGATTAGCCTACTCCCAGTCAACAGAAACTACCATTAGGAGAGAGATCTCACCAGGCTGATGAGAATGCCAAACACTCCTTCTGTGAAATTCTTGTTAAATGGGCCCTGCTCCAGAATGCATACCCTGCACTCAAACACTGGCCACAATAAAGCTATGGGGGTATCATGAGCTCTGGCCCCAACTAGAGGAGTGCTAATCCTGTTTCCCTTTCTTGGCCCAACCAAAAGACTGTACCTCAGTGAATAGAAGTGTCAAATCCATAATTCTGTAGGAAGTGTAGGCTCCTTTCTTCCCTTAGTAAGAAGTAGAGTCTACCTAGGACTCTTCCTGACTCAAGACAAACATGCTGACCATTTTGATAAGAAAAATGGTATTTCAAAAAAACAGTTCATCTTAAAATATGTGGGCTCCCAAAGTACAAAGCAGCCCTGCTGATTACCTGGACAGAATGACACTGGCAAACCTAAGTCAGAAGTAGATATCTAAACGGAATTAAGTCAGTACTGTCATATCTACCTTTACGTAGCTTAAAGTCAAAATTCCACAGAGAACCTCTAAGAAAGTGTAAGAGCTTACTAGACTAGCAGCCAAGTCATTAGTTTCTGCCCCAGGGCCCAGAATTAGACAATTCAAAACCAACATAGACACAGTCAGCATTTAGTTCTTCGCTATCAGAACTGGATCAGGTTATTTCTCAAATGCTTCCAAAAGGAGCAGCCAAAGGTTTTAAGATACCTAATGAAATAATTTGTAGCAAAGACTAACTAGAAGGCCACTTCCATGTGTTCTAAATATAGTAAGATTGCTAGTCTCAAGGTAGGTAATGTGCAACTAGGAGCATACAAATAAGCAGGCAGACTAAAACTTTCTGCCCACATTCAAACTTTGTGTCTTAAGGAACTTTTGGTAATTCTGGTTCCTTATCTTAATGCTTTCTCTTGCTATCCTTGGACATTTAATCTAGATTCTAAGAAAACTCAGAAAAGGGTGTCCAGACTATCTTTTTTAGTAGGAGAAGTTACTTTAATAATCTCAAGGACTAGTGCCTTAGGATATACTAGAAGTATTTTAACCTCCCTCTGCCATTACTTTCGTATCCAGCAACATAACTCCCCAGATAGCTGCAGAAACCTTACCTGTTGGTGGCTTTTGTTTTCTGGAGCTTTTCATCTTGCCTTGCATACCACTCTTCCAACTCCTTTATTGCTTTCTCTTTCCATTCTGCTTCCTGCTTTCGTGAGTTCGCATCTGAAAATTTAAGAATTGATTTGTCAGTCATGTTTGTTTCAGTTGGACCTTGCTAACATTTCAGCTGATGGCTCAGGGTTCACTCTACTGCAGACAGTTGCTTGATCTACTCAGATAAGGGTTAGGAGATTTCCTGGTTTAGGCTACGAGAACTCTAATACCATGAACATTCAGACGATTAGCTAAACTGAATGCCTGTGCTGCATAACTGGGACAGCACACTTAAGTTTAGGATAGACACTTGTAGACTAAGATTCAGCACATCTGTTGGCCTGCAAACTGTTCAAAAACAGCAACAGTCGCCTTGCTATGCTAGTGCTAGAACAAAGCTCAGTAAAGCCTCTGTGCTTAGAGAAACTGAGGGAGCCTGTCAATCAACATGTTTTAACACCCAGTCTACAGTTCAGGACAAACTCACCTGCTGTAACTAGCCCAGAAGAGGAGCAACAGGCTCAGCTCTATCCAGAATCACATTGTATAGAAGGTGCTGTGCTAAGAATTTCAAGCAAAGCCTCCTCCCTAATGTAAGTGGAAAGCATACCAGTCTGTAGACTCTTAGAAGCTGTCCACAGGTAAGTACCACTGCCTTTGATAGCTGTATTTGGTTTAGTTACTAGTTCATTACTTAACTTAGCTATCAGATTAAGATCCATATGACAACAGATGGCCTCAGCAATTACAAAATGAGCAACATTTATCCTTTGAAAAAAGTGCTGACGGCTGCAGTATTTATTCACTCTTTTCTGCTGACAAAAGCTGTTCATTTTCTGTTAGTTTATTTGTAAGTAAAGGGCAGGACACAGGAATACTCCCAAGGTTTCAGAGAGACACCTGCTTGTTGACTCCTATACCAGTATTAAGGCTGCTTACTGGAAGACTCATCCAGACTTGCTGCTCAAACCCAAGAAGCACGTTAGATTCCCAAGAGCCAGAAGTAACAGTTGAGAATTCTGCTGCTTAAGAAGCTGCCACTAAGTTACTCACAGGCAAGAACACTACTGCAACAAACACCCTCCTTACCAAGTTGCTCCAGGCGCTCCTTTTGCTCCTCTCTCCACTTACGAATACTCTCTGGTTCTGACTGCAGTCGATCTACTTGGGATGTGGCAGCATAGGAATCTGTTGAACCATTACTCTCCTTAAAGGGAAGGAATAGTAATGTCATTAATACGTGACAACTGAATATTTCAGATTAACTGCTTGCAAGCTACAAAAAATTGGACTTTATTTGAACTGAGCACATAACACATTTGTCTGATATTATACTGCATTTCCACGATTAAAAGGAAAAACATCTTGCCACATATTACAGCAAGACAAGCAAATTAATACAGGACTGCCTGTAGCAATCATGGATCAAACACAAATTCAAGTTGAGTGGGAAGTCAAACCATGCCAGAGCTCTACACCTGAAGAAAGCGAAAGAATGCCTAGCACTCTCCTATGCAGTTGTAGGCCCAGAGTTCCTCCAGATCATTTCACCTTAAATATTTGCTGTGAAAGTAATTATTTTTTTTTACAGTTTTGTGCATAGGAGTTTAAAACATTCTCTGTAACTTATTTCTCTACTTCATAGACGTTTGTGAACTTAACTGATATTAAAAGCCAATGTACTTTAAAGACATTACAGAATTTGGATTGTTGTATGCAGTTTAGAACACAAGGCATTTCAACATTTACGCATCAAAACACTGTGAGTACTGGCATCCTTTTTACTATACAATAGCTCAAAGACTCACAACGAATACGGCTATTATTAATACACCAGATTTGCAAAGCTAATGAATATTGTGCTATTTGCCACAGAGGATACTCCAAGTCCAACAACTTTTATTGGTTAACCCCACTCTTACCAGACCTAAGAAATAGCACTCCTGACAGTACCAGATGGATAGCAGCTAATGACAGATCTGGCTGCATCTTGCCCCTCTCTGGACCTCCTGTAGCCCTCACTGAAGGAATAATGCAAAGAGAACAAGCTAGGCTGGTGCAACAGCACCAGGCTTCACATTCAATCCAAAACAAAATAAATTAGCCAGTCGCAGGGCCAAACTAGTTACAAGTAGCTAAATCAACAGTTACATATAGCCCCTTCAGTCTGTTCCTCCTCATTAAGAGGAAGGTCTATCAGCCAAAGCAGCTGGTCACCTAGAATTGCAAACAAAATCAAGATGTTTCACCTACCTTCTGTTGTATAAGGAAGCACAAAGGGCCAGTAAGATACAGTTTTCCCATTGATCTCACAGCAACAATGATGATATAAAAATGTTAGCAGCAGTGAAAGCTGTTTGCATTTCCACAAAGCTCAGTGTTCACTTAAAACTCTATGGGGAACTAGCTCATACACTGCCCCCTTCCCAAGCATTCATTTAACCAGAGCTATCCAGCCAACTCTGATACCAGGCAATGACAATGCCTTAGCTAAACTGGTGTGAAATTCAGTTACAACACAGTGATTGCCTTAGCATGTCTCGTTCCTCCCTGACACTAATAGAGCACCTCCTCCTTTCGTCCATTACCATGGCTAACTAACATGCTTTCATACTATGACTGAGCTATTTAGCCAGCAGCCTAATTTCACGCAACTTTATGTCACTAAGAAGTGTATATGTTTCCAGTCAGCTCCCTGTAAGGCCAATCTTGATAAGACAAACAGGACACATGAATTATCCTTAAAGAACAAGCAATTCAGAAAACTCTGCTTTAAACTACGTAGTCAGATGATGCTTTCAGCTTATTAGCCAGTGGTAAGTCAACGTTAAGTCATACCACAGAACCTATCAGTCTGCTTACAGTGGTTATGTCCTATTAAGCCATAATTCAAAATGGACTATTGCTTTAAGTTGCCTCTAAGTTCAGAGGAGGAGCATATTAAGAGCATTAACAGCTTTATGAGGTGAGCTATCAGAATAGAAGTTCCTCTTCAGAGATGAGATGAAAGTACATTAGAGACAAGAAATGGCAAGTATTAGTCTAGACCAAGGTAAAATTCTCAGAGTAGAACAGCACATTCTAAGTACGGAGTACTTCTATCTTACCTGATAGACATCTCCATTAACCACTCCATCAACAGCACCTGTAAAGAAGTGACTGTAGTTTAGCCATTTGAGAAAAGACAGAACCACCAGATTTATGGATTTCAGTAACTTAGATACCTAGTAAAGCTTTCCATATAATGTGGGAGTCATGCAAATGACTGTTACTTGACACCCTGCAGGGTCACTTCCTTACCTCTGCATATTTCTGGATAGGCACAAGAAATCAAGTGAGCCATTATTCTGTAGAACCAGTAATACAAGGTCATTTCTTCATCATGAGATCATGCTTCAGCCTACACAAACAGCAGATCTGATACTGCTGCGCAGCTGCTACAGACAGTGTTCTAAAGTTACTCGCACTTTCTCCTCCCTGTATTAGAAGCTGACTAATAGACAACTGTGCGGAAGTTAAGAAGCATGACTTTCACTGTTTTAGTCTCTGCCTGGAAGATTAACAATCCTGCAGCCAACACTTAGTAATTCTTATCCTAGTTTGGTTACCTCCTAATTCCTAATCAGCTCAAAAGATATAGTTAACTTTCTTAGCAAAGTCACCTTTCTGCTGCCTTCCGTGATGACACGTTTGATAACTTCCTACTTCAGCTGCAGCATTGTTGCCTTTGAAGTGACACTGACAGTAGAGCCTCAGGTACAGGATCAGCTAGGAATCTTTGCCACAGAATCCTAAAATTTCATCTTATTAAAACACAGCCATAGAGAACATATGTCAGTTGTGAGACAAACATTTGAGTTTGTGAAACTATTTAAATCTCCAGACTACACCAAACACTCCAAGATTTTCAAGAACTGCTAAATCTCAGCAGGGCGATTTCTCTGGAACAGTGCTACGTAACATCTGCCTGTGCGATATAACAAGTCATGTTACTACCATTGTCTCACCCATAATGCTACCACAGATAAACTTACCACACAGAAATGTTTCCGCCATGTTAAGACACTCTTGAATGAAAGAAGAGACCGTACCAAAGTCACCCAATAGTAAGCAGAGAATCACGCTGTTTTGGACCACCTTCTTAAATAAGACAGCTAATTCACCTAAAACTAACAGCATTATGCTGGTGTATCCTCTATTTCTTTGTGGCTACATATGCACCAGTTTCATGCTAGTACTGTTAATGGCACACAGGAAGTTTTTCATACTCCTTTATCAGGGAACTAGGCAAGTATTATTAAGTCCTTACCTGAACAGCAATCATTAACTGTATTAGGTAGAGGACTGTAAAGTCATCAGATCAAACATGGTAGTTAAGGTGGCAGATACTAGTCTCCAAGAACATAATTACTTGTGGGGCAGGAGATAGATAAGCTTG